CATTGCAACTGGGAAAACCATAGCCTTGACTATACACACTTTTGTTGGCAGGCTGATGTCTCTGCTTTTTAGTATGCTGTCTGGATTTGCCATAGCTTTCCTCCCCAGGTGTAAGCATCTTTTAATTTCTTGGCTGCAGTCCCCGTCTGTAGTGATCTTGGAGCCCAGGAAAATAAAATCTGTCACTACCTCCATTTCTTACCCATCTATTTGCCAGGAAGTGAGAGGATCGGATGCCATGATCTGAGTTTTCTTAATGTTGAGTTTCAAGCCAACTTTTGCACTCTCCTCCTTCACCTGCATCAAGAGGCACTTTAGTTCCTCTTCACTTTCTGCCATGAGAGTGCTATCATCTGCATATCTGAGGTTGTTGATATTTCTCCAGGCAATCTTTAATTCCAACTGATGATTCATCCAGCCCTGCCTTTCTCATGATGTGCTCTGCATATAAGTTAAATAGGCAGGGCGACAGTATACAGCCTTGCCGAACTCCTTTTTCGATTTTGAACCAATCAGTGGTTCCGTACCCAGTTCTCACTGTTGCTTCTTGACTCGCATATAGGTTTCTCAAGAGACAAATAAGATGGTCTGGTACTCCCATCTCTTTAAGAGCTTGCCGCAGTTTGTTGTGATCCACACAATCAAAGGCTTAAGCATAGTCAATGAAGCAGAAGTAGATGTTTCTCTGGAACTCCCTAGCATTCTCCATGATCCAGCGTATGTTGGCCATTTGATCTCTAGCTCCTGTGCCTCTTTGAAACCCTGCCTGTACTTCTGGTAGCTCTCGGTGCACATACTGCGGGAGCCTGGCTTGTAGGCTTTTGAGCAGCCCTTTGCTAGCATGTGAAATGAGTGCAGTTGTGCGGTAGTTTGAACATTCTTTGGCATTGCCCTTCTTTGGGATCGGAATGTAAACTGACCTTTTCCAATCCTGTGGCCACTGTTGAGTTTTCCAAATTTGCTGGCATATTGAGTGTAGCACTGTTACTGCATGGTCTTTTAAGAGTTTGAATAGCTCAGCTGGAATACTGTCACCTTTACTAGCTTTGTTGTTCCTCAGACTTCCTAAGGCACATTTGGCTTCACATTTCAGGACGTCTGGCTCGAGGTCAGTGACCACCCCATCGTGGTTATCAGGGACATTAAGCTCTTTCTTGTATAGTTCCTCTGTGTAATCTTGCCACCTCTTCTTAATCTCTTCTGCCTCTATTAGGTCCCTGCCATTTTGGTCCTTTATCATGCCCATCTTTGCATGAAACGTTCCCTTCATATCTCCAATTTTCTTGAAGAGATCTCTGGTTCCCTATTCCATTGTTTTCTTCTCTTTCTTTGTACTGTTCATTTAAGAAGGCATTCTTATCTCTTCTAGCTATTCTCTGGAATTCTGCATTCAATTGGGTGTATCTTTCTCTTTCTCCCTTGCCTTTTGCTTCCCTTCTTTCCTCAGCTATTTGTAAAGCTTCCTCAGACAGCCATTTTGCTTTCTTGCATTTTTTTTCCTTTGGGATGGTTTTAGTTGCTACTTCTTGTACAATGTTGCAAAACTCCATCCATAGTTCTTCAGGCACTCTTTTTATCAGATCTAATTCCTTCAATCTATTTGTCACCTCTACAGTATGTTCATCAGGGATATGATTTAGGTCATACCTGAGTGGCCTAGTGCTTTTCCCTACTTTCTTCAATTTAAGCCTAAATTTTGCAACAAGAAGCTCATGATCTGAGCCACAATCAGCTCCTGGTCTTGTTTTTACTGACTGTATAGAGCTTCTCCAACTTTGGCTGCAGAGCACATAGTCAATCTGATTTCTGTGTGGACCATCTGGTGATGTCCATGTGTAGAGTCGTCTCTAGGGTTGTTGGAAAAGAGTGTTTGCCATGACCATCGTATTCTCCTGACAAAATTCTACCAGCCTGTGCCCTGCTTCATTTTGTACTCCAAGGCCAAACTTGCCTGTTATTCCGGTTATCTTTTGGTTTCCTACTTTCGCATTCCAATCCCCCATGATGATAGAAATGGTAGCGTAGTCCAAAGTGAGTCAAGGGTCGGAGGACTGAGGCAGACCAGCGAGAGAGAGAAGAGATGCAGGCAGGACACGGGGAGGCAGGAAGGAGCAGAGATCCTGGTCTCACAGACCAGGAAGGGCTTCACCAACAACAGGAGACACAGAAACAGAGCGAGTCAGGAGGGGCCTCCTGGGCCATCTAGTCTGACCTCCAGCACCAGCCAGCTCCACTCTCGATATGCCCACCAGACCTCCACTGCTGAGGCAGCTTCTGAGAGGAAGAGCTGGTTCTTCTATAGCTCTTCCCCAGGGCTCCCCAGGTGCAACTCAGGAGCACCCCGGCAGCTGCACTGGGCTGAGGACAGAATCCTGCAACTGCCAGAGGTGCTCCACTGGCCCTTGGCCAGCAGAGGGAGCCCTGAAGCTGCCTCAGGTCTTGACAGTAGGTCTGGATCCAACCAATTAAATATTACTGGATATTATTAAACTTTCATCAGATATTATAAAATTAAACATTTTGTATACTTTAACTTACATTGAGCAGCATGTTGGACTCAATGGCCTTATAAGCTCCTTCCAAGCCTATTATTTATGATTCTAAGATACCCACATATTATCGTATATATTGAATATTATCATTATATACAAATATTATTCTGTGAGCAGACCACACCCAGAAGGTTCCTTCCTCTTGCCAAAGGCAGATACTGGGTCCAAACAATTAAATACTCCTTTTGCTGATGTTAGATCTACCCAGCCAAGACATCCTGCTTTTTAACTCTTGGGTGGAAGGAATATATCTCCCCCTCTGTGGAACGTTACAGCCCCGCTGAAGTGCCTTGAGCTGAGCCTTCCTCTCTGTGACGACCTCTCAAGTACTTAAAGAGCACCGTCTTATCTCTCCTCAGTCTTCTCAAGACTAAACATGCCCAGTTCTTTCACTGTCTCCTCGCGGGACTCGTTTTTAGTCCCCAGAGTTTCCCTCTTCTGAACCCCTCTGAACCCTTTCCAGCTTCTCTGCATCTTCCTTAAACTCATCTGTAGTGCCCACGACTGGATGTGCTATTCCAGATGAGGCCTAACCAGTGCTGAGTAAAGGGAAACTACATGCAATTTAAAAGTGATCCTTCTCGTAATGCAGCCCAAAACAGCATCCCCCCCTCTTCTGGACCACATCACACTGTTGCAGACTTTTTCTGTCTAAGCAAGCATAGGATTGTATCCTGAAAGAATTACAACTAAATCTTAAACCCCTGATGTGGATGTAATTCCTGTTATTGCAGTCAGATTTTTTAAAATATGATCTATGTTTTGCTAGTTGAAAAAGTTGCATTTTCTGTGTAGTCATTAAGTATATTGAAAACATGTTGTTTTAAACTTTGTAAAAATATTAAAACTGTTAATGGCGTTGTATTATGTTTTATCATGCCTGATGTGGTTCTATGACCATAATAAATTAAATTCTGAACAACCCAGAAAGAGTAATGAATAGTATAGAATAGTATGAAATATACTCCATGAAAAGAAATAAAGGATATCCGGTTGGGCATCTTCCCAGCTACAACCCACCCTCCATTCACATGGCCATTAAGCATCTCTTGTGCCTTTTAAAAGAACATTAAACTGTTGCTTTTAGTAAATCTCTTGCTGCATTTAGAAGTCTTCCACATTTTAGATGCTCGGTATCTATCTCTTTTAAATAATTCTGGACTGCTTGGTGTCATAGCATTTGCTTTTATTATGCCCGTCGCCCCGAGAACTTTAGCTACAAAGCGACTCATAAAACGAAGCGACTCCGAACGATAAGCACAATATTTTGGAAGCGGCCCCATTTGTTCCCAGAGCTATTTCCTCCAAATTCCGTCTGCTGGAGGAGCCGAAAAGAAGGAAATGGACCGGGCAGCCTCGCCGTGTGGGCCAGGCACGCCGCCTTTTTGCGTGCGCCGACCCGATCTCCTTTCCCTGCGTCTCCCACACTAAACAGAGCTGTGCAAGCCGCTTTGCGCTCCTCTCAAGAGGAAAAGAGGCGGCATACAAATACAGTGCAGTAACGACATGCGGAGAAGAGGGGCGGCCGTGCACTAGCCTCTTCCCGTTCTCCGGCCTCTCTGGCAGCTCGGCAGGCCCCATCCAGCTTTCCCAAAAGGAGGAGGACGGGGCCGCCCCCTCCCCACACAGGCTCCTCGACGTGCACCATCCCGCCCCGGCAGAGGAGCGGGAAAAGCCAAGCGGGCGCGAAGGAGACACACAGCCTCTGCGCCACCGCTCTGCGCAATCCGGAGCGGGGGAGCCGGAACCTCTCGCGGGGAACGAAGTCGCGCCCGCTCCTCCCAGCCCTGGCCGGGCGGGGATCCGGAGCGCGCAGGGCGTGCGCCCCCTTTTCGCTTCCCGGGGAGAGTTCATCCCGGGGTGAAAGGCAAAGGGGCCGGGCGCGGAGGGCGCAGACGCGCCAGTGCGCCGCCCGCTTCCGCGCACGTCCTGCCCGCCCGCCCGGTGCGCGCAGCCCCGCGCCCCCAGCGCCGCTCGCAGGGGGGCCTGGTGAGTGCGGCGCGCGGGGCGGCCTCGGGGATCGGGGGCGCGGCGCGCAGCGGGGGCCGGGCCCGCGCTCGAGCTGGGGCGAAGGAAGGGGGCCCGCCGCCGCCGCCGCCGCTGGCGCCCGCACGGACCGGGGAAAGCCGCCTTCCCAAACCCAGCGCCCTCTGGAATTGTCGGGTGGGAGTTGCGGTCCTCCTCGTTTCGGGGGCGCCGAGCAGGACAGCCTGAGCCCCCCCGGTTGTGCTGGGCTACGGCTCACGTCCTCCCTCGCTGCTCGTTAGGGCAGACGGGAGTTGTAGGTCCAAGGTAAGGGACGGGTGGAGGCTGTGGTGGATGGGAGTTTGAGTTCATCACGCTGGAAAGGCACCGGGTAGAAAGCTCGCTGCTGGCGGGGGGTGATGGGAGTTGTAGGCCCTCATATCTAGACGATGATAGGCTGGAGAAGGCTAGTCTAAGGGTCTGACAGGATTAAAGCAATCGTATATACGCCGGGAGCAGAAATCCAGATCACACATGGAAAAGGTGCAGCTGAAATGTTATTAAATGCAAGTGGAGCTCATTGATTGCAGTATCATGAATTTGCTACCAAACAGTATAACTTAATTGCCTATGGGGCCCACCACCACAGGGCTTGTTTGTTGGTGATTGTGAAAGATCTGCCAATCCCTTTTTTGTCAGCTCCCAAAGTGGCCCACCAGCACCGGTTATTATTGTTACATTTGTGTCTGACCTTTTTTTCCTCTTGCAAGGAACCTGACTTGGATTACATCCGTGGTTCTCAGCATATTGGGGAGGGGGCATGGGAAGCGCCATTTTTCTAGGAAGCCACAATAATTTTCTGAGGAGGCCACCCAATTGTAACTGCCAGGAGCATGATCAATCTGTCATAATCATTACATCTCATTCTCTGTGCGAATTTCCACAGCATAAATACTGAAAATGACTACAGCTTGCAGTAAACATAATTTAAAAGGCAGAGTGTCGTAAAGGAAATGTTATATTAATTAGAAATCAGCCATATGAAACGATTTAGATTAATAAACAATGCAGATGGTATAACCCCTTTTTCCAGCTAACGGCAACTGTGAGGAGGGTCATGGAGGTAAACGAGGCTCAAAAGGAGCCACGAGCAACCTGGTTTTTGTGATTCTCCTGCTCCCCATGGGGAGGGAAATTAGGTTGAGGACTGAAAGTCACCCAGCGAGCTTCATGGCTGAGCAGGGAAGAGAACCAGCGTTTCTGGAGTCCCAGTCTTGCGCTCAGACCTCTATGCCACTCTGGCTTGGAGGATCTCCCTGCAGCTGCCCACTTTTTTATTTTGTTTTTGTTTTTTGGCCTTTTGCATGCAAAGCTGTGTGTAAAAATAAATAGGTGTGTTTAAAACAGTCTGGGCTAAAGTGCAACCTGTTGAGGCACCCATGGCTGGGTTTCAAGGCTCGGCTGGGGAAATATGGAAAGAGGCCGTCAGCTGCTGATTTGTGGCAGTCCCCCCCCCCATGGGTATTTCCCCAGCTGAAGCTTGAGAGCACCCTCCCTGGCCCATTTCTTTTGCTAGATCGCCTGCCAAGAAAACCTGGCTGGGGTGGGGGGGCAGTGTTTATAAACTGTATAAAAGATGAATGTTTAGTGTATAGCTCTGATGGTCTGCAAACCTCTCCATTGTGCCGTCAGGACCCTTTGGACTGGCACTGTGCACTGTCCAAACAGAGGTGGCAAAAGCTGGTGTTTGTGCCCTTTGGGACCTTGCACCCATGTTTTCAAAAGAAAACCCACGCCAGCTGTCCCTAAGCGGTGCTTTGCAATTGGTGGCCTGACGCCTGCCCGGTGTAGCTCAGAAAGAGAAGCAAGGAGCTTCCAGTTCTGCCCAGCAAGCCACTGGTTGTGTTTACCTATGGTGGGATCATGCATCCGGGTTCAGACAACACATCAACCTGCAATGATAAAAAATACACCTTAAAAAAAAAACCCCACACAATTGGAACTAATTCTGTTAGGCACTTGCTTAACTTCCTCTTTCCTAGGTGTTTGTTTTATGCTGTTTGCAGCCGAGTCTGTTTGCAGAAATGCAAGACACTTTTTATGCTAGACTACAATACTAAGGCCATCAAAACAAACTAGGGTTGTTGGAAAATTAATGTATTACGTTCAGCAGAACAAGGTAGGAAGCATAATTGGTGGGTTGGTTTAAGCCGGACAGGCTGTACCAGCAGTACTGAACTCCCCCACCCTTTCCCCCCATGGCAGCCCCTCCGGCACCCTGAAAATGCCACAGGAGGCCTCTGATGAATGGGTTGAGCTGTGGCATGTGGGGAGCCCTTCCCCATCAGGCCCGACCTCCTGCGCATCCTGCATCCAAGTCACAGTGTTTCACGAAAGTTCAGCAATGAGTCGTGTGTGAAATTAAGTCTAGATTTTAAACCATGTTCTTAAACACACTGTCTTATTTTACTCCCTGGGAGACTATGTTTTTCAGACCTCTCCATGTTCATTGTCATGTCCCTCTGCTGGTTCCATCAGCGGTTCTGTACGCAACTGCAGATGGTCACTCTGATGCACACCCTAATCTGCTGACCAAGGCTTTTTATCATTCATTTTTTGTAGCCTTTCCACAAAATAAAAAAGAGGACGGGAAAAGGCGTAGCTACATAGATTTGAGTGCATTCATTTCAATGGATGCTTGTGAAGTGTATGAATATGAAAATAAGGCTTTCTAAGAATTATGCATAGACTTCAACAAAAGCAAAAAAATGCCCATGTCAATTGCAAGGGGTGTCTGTATACCACCCCGTGCAGCAAAGCCCATTTGCCACAGCTTGCACACAAAGGACAATTGCTAGGGAGTGTGCCCTTATCAGTCCCAGTTTCCGTGAGAAAGTAGGCCTTCAGCGCTGTTGACCCAGGCACTAGTCAGCAGGAACAGAAGGACATGAATGGATCAGGACCCTCCAATCGTATTTGCTGGCCACTGGTGCGCATGTCCTGCCCCTGAGGACCAGTAGCCATGGAAAGATTTCTCCCCCATGCATTTGTCCAGTCCTCTTTTAAAGCCATCAAAATTGATGGCTGCATCTTGTGGTGTGAACCTAGAAGTGTGGGTTGTTTGTGGGTTTTTTGGCCAGGGTATGGAGGCAGTAAGCAAGGGCCCTCAAAAAATTTAGCCAGTCTACTACAGTGTTGTATTTGGGGTGCAGGGAGGAAGCCGGCCAGGGAAGCATGAAACAGACAACCCAAGGACTTGTTTGATTGTCTGCTAGACAAACTCTGGATTAGGCCACAAACCATGGGTTAAATAAACCACATAGAGCATTTTGTGTAACCCAGGGCAACCTGAGCCAGGTGAAACTCTGGGTCTGTGGTTCTTGTAAGGAGGAGCTCCACCCTTGCCTTTCCGGTCGCTGTCCCCAGAAGCTTATACTGGAATAAATTTATTAGTTGTTGTAGTGCTACAACAATCCATTGTGTTTGCTGCCATAGACTCACATGGCTCCCTCTCTGGAACTAATTCTTTTGAGTCTGGAAGTTCAGTGACCTTTCTCACAGGAGGAACATCCAGTCACCAGTACAGTGGTACCTCAGCTCACGAACGCCTCAGTTCATGGCCGATTCGGGTCACGAACAGAAATTTCAGAAAAAATTTGCCTCAGGTCGCGAACTCCTCATTGGGTGACAATCGCGATCGCGCCCGTCTTCCCTGCGCAATCGCGCTGGGGGGGGTGAGGAGATGGCCGTAATCGTACCCATCCCCCCCCCAGCACGCCTGCAATCGCACCCATCTCCCCCCTGTGTGCACCCACGATTGTGCCCCTCCTTCCGGCATGAGTCCGCCCGCAATTGCGGCCATCTCCCCACCCCCCAAGCATGATCGCTATCACACGATTATGGTTTGGACTCTCCCTCCAAACAATAACCTCCCCCCCCCACCTAGGTTAGTGTCCTCTACTGTACTTTGTTTCAAATTGTTGTGATTAAAAAAATAATTAAGGAACGGATTAACCTTATTTACATTGAGCCTGATGGGGGAATTTGCCTTGGCTCGCAACCAATTTGGGTAGCGACCAGATCCAGGAGAGGATTGAGTTCGTGAGCCGAGGCACCACCGTGCTTCTTGCAAAGCATGAGGAGACTCTGATGCCTCCATAAAGCAGGACTTGATCGAGCAAGACTTGCTCTCCTCTCCATCCTCCCTCCCTTGCCTTAGGAGCACCATCCATTGTGGAGCAAAGAGATGCTTGGAGGCCGAGCTGGAGCTGGTTTCTAAGATGGAGGGGCAGGATGCAGCCGGCTCCCGGGCAGAAAAAGGCCCTCCTATGATCCAGGCTGGGAGCAGCAGCAAGTTTTGGGAAAGAACCATGCAGAAGATCCTGGATGAGGACAAGACCGACTCGGATGCACAGCGCCAGAACTTCCGGGGGTTCTGCTACCTGGAGGCCAAGGGGCCCCGGGAGGTGTGCAGTCGGCTGCATGACGTTTGCTATCAGTGGCTGCAGCCGGACATACGCACCAAGACCGAGATCCTGGACCTGGTGATCCTGGAGCAGTTCCTGGCCATCCTGCCAGCGGAGATGGCGAACTGGGTGAGGGAGTGCGGAGCGGAGACCAGTTCCCAGGCGGTGGCCCTGGCGGAGGGCTTCCTCCTGAGCCAGGCCGAGGACAGGAGGCAGGAGGAGCCACAGGTGGGATGCTTTCGTTCCGACTGCCAGCAGGGTGCATAATCTGAGCAAGGCTTTCACAGATAGCCCCGCCAGTAGCCCATACATTTCCTGGGAGTCATCCAAAGGAGGGGTGTCCCAGCCTGTCACACCTGCCTTTGGAGAGTGTTCTAAGATGGGAACCACGTTCTCTGTGGGGATTTATTTAAAGAGGGTTGTGAAGTTCCAGGAACGGAGGAATTCTTCAGTCAGTGACGCTGTCCTCATAGCACTGAGATTCACAACTTGTTGGGCCTTAAAATCTGAATTACCGTGTTTCCCCAAAAATAAGACCGGGTCTTATATTAATTTTTGCTCCAAAAGACACATTAGGGCTTATTTTTTCTTATGAAAGCCAGAAGATTCTTGCCCCGAGAGTCCTCCATGGTTCCTTTCTTGTACTCGACGGAATAACTTTCTTTTTGCACCCATCTTGCATGTTGCATCCATGCATTAAGTGCATCCATTACAACACACAATGTATTGACGTTATTCATGCGTTGTGTCTGTACTCTGACTGGTCATTCGGCAATAAGTCTCGCATTCATCTGTTTACACAGGCATTTACCTCTCATCCAAAGGTGCCTGCTTCAGTATTTACGAATAATTATAATGTATATTATCATTTATTTTAAGTATTAATGTCAATAATGTTATTTATTTTTATTTAATTATGTATTAACATATTTATTTTATAATTCAATACGTCTATCGTGTGTTGCAACGGAAGTACTCCTGTGTTTCCCCGTCCAGCTGGCTGACGCTCCTAACCGGGGCTTATTTTTGGGGTGGGGTTTATATTACAGGCATCCTGAAAAATCATGCTGGGGTTTATTTTCCGGTTAGGGCTTATTTTGGGGGAAACAACGGTAGTGCAGGACTGGGGCGCAACACACATATGCATGCATGCACATGCCGGTGTGTTCTCTCTCTCTCTCGCTCTGTCTGTGTCCAAAGTGAGATGCCAGTGGGTGGGGGAGGGCGAGCATTTGGTGTGAACGAAGCAGGGGGGCTACACAAGGCACCTTCAGGGCCCACCTGCATCTCATGGGTTGTGCACCCCTATCTCCGCCGGACCAGAGTAGCTTGTATAGGCACCGACCTTCCCGTGCTCACAGAGGAAGTAAAGACCATTTGGGGGTCTTGGCTGGTTTGAGGAAGGAGTTTGAGAGGCCGCGTTCTGCTTCTCTTCTAAATGAGGGTGGGATCCATGGATAATCGCCAGAGACATGATTGTGTGTTGGGAGTCACAATAACTTCAGGAGGAGATCTAACATTGGGCTTTCCTGTCCTATCCGTTCACTGGCTCCTTGTCCCTACTTCTTGTTCCTCCTCCCTGTACAGATGTCTTTAGCCAAAGGACCCGCGGACGTCCCTGAAGCAGAGAGCTCTCTCTCAGACACGACCCAGAAGCTGCTGTTCAGGTGGATCGTACAGGAGGGTGACCAAATTGCTGCCTCTCCAGGTAGGGATGGATGGGTATATTTCAGCATGGTCTCCTCCTCTCAGATATGCCTGAAATCCATGAGCAACCTGCACATCGCTCCTCACACTTTTCACTAATTCAGGTGCAAATCCTCAGCCTCAGGAGCCAAACCTGCCCTACCTGTGTTCCCCAGGTGGCTACTCACCCTTCCCTGGCTCCACCCCCTTCCTCCCAACCAGCAGAGATGGCTTCCCAGCTCACGTGTGACGCTTCTGTCATTCCAAATTGTTACCTGTTTCTAGAGCTAAGATGCACTGGTATTTTTGGCATCGCCCCTTTTGCCACTAGAACGTGGTGTCTAGCAGCTTCTTCAAATCAGGCTCTTAGCTAAAAGAAGTTCTGCTTTCCTGCTATTCCCTTTCTAATGTAATTTAAAAAGTGTTGACTTTCAGTTGAAGATGATTTTGTGTACCTCAAGCACTGTGGGCAAAGTGCTTAATTTCACTCAAGAAACGATGGCAAGGTATAGAACATGTCTCCACCTTCTTTGTCTTCTTCACAGGAAATGGAATGACACTTGGAGAAAGTGATACGAAACGCTGGGTTCCTTCCAGGCCACCTTCTCTTGACAGTGGAGTGGAGGCAACTTGTGTGCAACCGGAACAGGTATGGGAGGGATCTTGGGAAAGGGAGAGCGAACACGCCAAGTGGCCTTATCCCTTGCTTGTCTTCTTTCCCGAAAGAGATGCCTCTTTCCCTTGCTTCAGAGCAGCTGTGAAGACCCAGTTCCCCATCACTGCCTTTTTGGACTGTTCGATTAAGTCCTACAAGAAAATGGTGTGTGTTTTTTCCTGCCAGGACCAGGTGACCTTTGAAGAGGTTCTGGTGGATTTCACGGAGGAGGAGTGGGCTCTGCTGGATCCAGACCAGAGGGCTCTGCACAGAGAAGTCATGGAGGAGAACTGCAGAAACCTGGCCTCTCTAGGTAAGGCTTCCCTGTTGCCTTAATGTCAGAGGAGCCCTACTGAATCGGGCTGATCCGGGGTGGGCAGCCTGCAACCCCAGACCGCAGTTCAGATGGCCCTCAGCCCAGTTTCATGATTCACTGATCTTCCCGCCAGATCCCTGACAGCCTCCTGGTTGGGAAGGGCAAAGGAGAAAAGAGGGTGGCGGAGAAGCTACGAAATAGGCTCTCCGGAGAGGTGCACCTGCCTCCATTGCGGCTTTCATTTTGGCCCCAAGCAAAGACGTTCTTCTTTTCCAGCTATTGTAAAAATGGATTTTAGTGGCTGATTTTAACTGACCCCATTCTTATTCTTGGTTTAAATTAAATGTTTGCTATTTTAGTGTGTTTATGTAATATTTTAAGTCTCTGATGTTTTTATATTTTGGTTATGTTGCTAATATGTTTAAATAGGTTAGTTATATGTCTGGTTTTAGAATACTTTGTTGTTTTAACTGTTGTGAGATACGGAGAGAGCCCGGATATGGACTACTGTGGCGGCATACAAATTGAAATAATACATAAATGAATAAAATAACAAAGGGAGAAGGAATGACCTTCCTGCTTTCGGCTTAGGCTGCGGCCGCAGCTGAGTTGAGGTCTCCTCACGGCCAGATCAGGACGAAGTACCCACTAGGGAATGCAGCCCTTGGTAGAAAATAAGTGGCTTACTCTGGATCTAGCCAACATCCTGCCTCCCTCGTGCCGATGGGAATTCCAAGAGCAGGAGGTACAGACAACACCCTCCTCTGGTTGCAGTTCCCTAACAACAGGCAGATTCTCCCTCTCTTCCCTCTATTGTGGAATGCGCTCCCCAGAGAGGTTCTCCTGGCGCCATTTGATACTCGTTTCAGCACGAGGTGAAGACCTTTTTATTCAGCCATCGTTTTAAGAATTACGGATTTTAGATGTTTTAAGATTTAAGATTACAGTTGCATTTTCTTTCCTTTAGTTTTGCAGAATTATGATGGTTATTTATTTATTGCTTGCTATTTATTGCTTTAATCATTGGTCTATTATTGTTGATTTCATTTTATTATTATTACTGTTTTGAATTAGTATAAGCCGTCCTGAGACATTTTATCAGGATGGACAGGGTAAAAATGTTTTAAATAAATTAAAACATTTATTTATCTATTATCTATTTATTATTATATTATCTAATATATAATATAACCACCAAAGTGAGAGTGAATGTTTCTTATTGAGCCTGCTATTTCATTGCTCCTTGTTACCTACTTCGTCTGGGAGTAGCCCTCCAAGGTGCATGTCTTCTCATCCTTACTAATTGAGTACCTTCATGTGATATTTCTAGAGATCAAAGCCATGCAAAATATCTGAAGTTTCTTTTAGATAAGCACCATGCAGGTGATCACCGCTACTGATCATCAGAGGCTGTTGATATATGTAGATGGATTCATATGATTTGCTCTGCCCTTCCTTATTCCTATTCCTTTGATTCTTTTAGATGATCTGAAGAAGAGCAATAAAATGAGTGAACAACAGCAGAGGAAGACAGAAGAAAAACAGAAAAACAATTCCATTGTTTTTGAAAGGGT